CCTGTTTTCCAGAGTAGGGGCATTCTCACTTTGAAGACCTGTGTTAGGCTGTGGCAATTGCAGAGCTTTGCTTTATAAAAATAATTTTAAAGCAGCTGTTTTATGTCTTTTGCATCAGTGAAACAAATGTTTACATCATTTTATAGTCCTTTGTGGATCTGGGAGGTGATATTTAATTAGAGCATTTTCTAGGAGGGGTAAAGCCAGTCTGCTAGTGAGAAATCTCATCTGCAATATATTTGCAGCCCCGTGGGCCTTTAATGGTGACAAATCCTAATATGCCTGTTATTATTTCATCAAATCAATTTAACCTTCTCTTTAAAGAACCACACTTTGACTTCAGTCTGTTCTGTTCTACATAATCCACTTTTTCAGTAAATCTGCTTCAGTCTGCAGTACCCTCCCTAGTAAAAGTAATCTAGATAGGTGATGATAAAGCCATATTTTAGTCTATGAGATACCTTTTCCATTACTCTCTTTTTGATCCTTCTTACAGACAAATCTCTTGTTCAATCACCCTGCCAGGTGGTAAAAAAAGGGGGAAGAGATGACCTTTTAGCCTAGGTGAGGTGAAACAACCCTTTCACAAAGAAATGCAATTGAGTATTTTATGCCAGGACACTGTATGCCAACTGCTGGACTTAGGGAAAGTGGAAGAAGGAATTAGTGGGAGCCTGCAGTGCAGATTTCAGAGTTGCTTTTGTTCTTCTCACTGCTCTCTCTTTATCTTTTCTCCTGACAGGGCTTTCTCCATCACGCTATGACAATTTTCTGGCACTGGTGTTGAATACAGATGCAGTTGTGAAGCCTTTGGGTTTCTAGATTTTGGTTTTGGGCACTTCACAACTTCAGAATGTGCCTTATGTGACTTCAGCCTCCCAGCTGCACCTGTGCCCAGCTCGGTTCTGAAGATGTGCAGTGTTTGCTTTGTGTTTCAGTGGCCAGACACTGCACATTAGCATGGATCCCTCAGTTTTCTGCAATTCTACTTTTTGTGCTGTTGTACTACAAAAAGGCAGAAAGACTGAAGCAGGTTAATAGCTGACAGAACACATGTGGCATGTATTTATACTGGACAGGTAACAGAGCATAGTGTCAGCAAAAACAACCCCTGAGTTCTCATCTTCTAGACACTACTCTTTGGTCTGTATGGAGAAAATAAACATTCTTCTCTTGGCCTCCCTCCTTCTTTTGTGTATTTTCCTTGCAGGCTTTAGCAGTGTAAGATCAGCACGTTTATACCTCTTGCCTACCTGTACAAATTTCAGGATTTCTGCTCCCACTTGTTTCCTCTCTGGTTGTACTTTTCCTGGTGCTGCTTTTGTCTCTGGTGCCTTTGGTGCTGTGAATATTGAGAAGTGCTGAAGGGCAGTGCTGGCCTGAGCATGGACAATTCTGATTAATGTTAACTAGGGGGAAGTCAAACTGGATAAAGAACTTGAATCTAAAAGTTGTTTTTCCAGATTGAGCATCTTGATTGTTGAGTGGGGAAACCTCCACTGCCTTTTACTTTCAAAATAAACAGCTAAAAAGCTTCCCCTCAACCCCCTCCCACCCCCCAAAAAAATAATTCTGGAGATATTTGTGTATTATTTGCCAACTTAAGAACAGAAGGAGGTTTTCTTGTAAAAGCTGAGAAACATTCAGTGGGCAGGAGAAATCTGTTCGCATGTGGAATGAGAGCATATTAAGGAATTCTTACTTACATAATTTGAGTACATAATTTCACAATTTCTCTAACTTGTAATTTTACTGTTTCTCAAGCAATAGTCAAGAAAACAGAATCTGTTGTGGATTCAGTGTTGTCCAGTCCTAGTAAAAAAATTCACATGTATTTACAGAAATAATTCCAGTTCTAAGACAATCTGTGGCAAAATTTTATATTTTTAAAAACTTTTTTTTATTTATTTAATGGCAGTAAAATATGTCTCTAAAGCATGTCTTGGTATTTATTGTTTTATATTAAATCACCAGAAGTGCTGTGAGATTTTATTCTTGAGTTAAAATGCATTGGTGGAAAGTTGGCATATAAATTGAAGGTGTTATAAGACAGTACACAAGGGATGGCAAATTTAGTGCCTTTAGAAGGTGAAACGTTTTGTTCACTTAATTAGTTGTGGAAGGATAAGTTAAGTTAGAAAAATGAGTGTAGAAAATCAGAAGTGAATTTTAGTGCAAGTGTCCATCATAAATAAGCAAGAGTAAGCCAGATTTGGGGTTTTAAGCAATTTTTGCCTGCATTTTCGATCTCCATTTAATTGATTCATAAATCAATTAATTACTGTCACAAGACCCGAGGGCAGAAGGAAATTGGGTTCAAATTAAAAAGAAAAGGAGGCAATTTGTTTTAAGATTGAAAGTTGAATGTTCAATCGAAGTTTAATCAGAAGTGACCCATTATTTGAAAAGTGGAACATCAATGTCGTTCTAATTTCACAGAATGCTTCATTAAATGAGTATTGAAAAGCCCAGGTTAACTGATCATTCCAAAAGGAGCACGAGACATGGGGCAGTTTGGAAATCCACTTCCAAATACATGTTATGCTTGTTCATTTCTCTTCTGAAGAGCTCACAGAGATACCAAATAATTTCATAGGGAATTCAAGGATTACTGGGGTGAACCTTTGTAGATTGTAGTTTGTTTGATAAAAACATATTTCATATCAGAAGAGAAAATGTTCTTAATCCATTTGGATAGCTATGAACTTGAAGAAGAATTATAAGAATGGGATGGAAAGCGAAGGAGAAGATTTTCAAAGCACTAGTGTGGAAATTTCAGTCCTAAATTTGAGGATATTTCACAATGGTCTGACCTTGAAAAGGTTTTTCTGTAATTTGAAACCATCTCCAGAGCATTCACAATGCATTAAAGACTCTGCTCTCTGTACAAGGTGAGGGTGGTACTTGCTGATGCCTGGCTGGGGCTGAGGTGATGATTTGTGTTTTGGTGAGTGTAGGAGAGAACAGGACAACAATTGCAGCTGTAGCTCCTACTGTGGCTGAAAGGCATAAAAGAATAATAATACAGTTGGTTTTAATGGTTTTGGATTAGCAAGTCTTTCTCTTGGTGTGCATTTACTAGAAATTTGCTTAGCAAATTGCTGTTCAAAAAAAGCCAAAATACAACACTAACTTGTGAGCTTGGTGGAAGAACGACAGAGAAGTGTGATCCAGTTTCCAGCTCTTGGAAGGTGTTTCTCTTGCTGTTAAATGCTCTTGGAACATCATCTGGACTCATCTCTCTGCCATGTGCTCCCTGGGATGAAGAGTGGGCTTCTGTTAGTTGGAAGCAGCTTTCTCTGGTGAGCCTGGTGCTTGAAAATCAGCAAGAGAAACAAAGTTGTCCTTTCTAGCAGTTCTTTATGGAGGAGCCTTTTATGAGAAAAAAAAAAAGCAGCCACAGCTGTTTAAAACATTTGCTCTTGCAAGTGCACAGCAAGATGATTTGAGATGCCTGCAAGTTACTTCAAACAGCAATCCTTTTCAAGATCTCTGCAAGCAGGGTCTCGATTCCTTCGTGAGCAGAACAACTCGTCACGTGTGCTCTCCCAGTTGTTTTGATTCATCTGCTGATGGCTCCTGTGAATGTTGGGTTCTTCCAAAGGCAGCAGCAGAGGTTGCTGGTTTTCCTGGTCCAGCTGGGGTCTGGAGTGAGTGGGAGAGAAGCCAGGTGAGCAGTGCTTCCCTGCTTTCCAGGCAGCTGATCCACCAAGCTTCACATTCCACAAAATAAAAGGATATTTGTCTAGATGGAGCAATAATCTGGCATTGTATAGCAAATTTAATTTGGTGGTCACTCCCTTCACTGACTCTCAGTGAGATACTCAAGAGTGAATATAAGTAATGTAACTCTCTTTAAGTTACTGATTTAATTTCTGTGACCGATGATGAGCAGAATGAGGGTGTTCCTCAGCAGCCCCCCAGTCAAATGACACGCCTCTAAACTGGTGTGCAAGCTCGAAACAAAGATGAATAATTATGAGTTAATGCTGAAATATGTATTTTATCTTTGTAATAAATGACTTTGTGCATCTTCTCCCTGAGATCTTAAAAAAAAAACAACTCTGAAAGAAAAAATTACTTCATTTATTTTGTGATGCTTCTGCGACAAGTTATGCAACACGCAGATGCATCACTGAACACAAAAATTTATCTGATGCAGTGCTAATTATATATATATATATATATTTTTAAGAAAATGGTGGGAGTTTTCTACCAGAAATAATCTCCTAGAAAGGCATAGAAGTGCTGATAGAAATTGATCAAGAAGGCATTATTTTATAGAAAAATTTAACAAGGAAATTTATCAGCAATGTAATTTAATTCCTTTTTCAGGCACCTTTGAGGCTTAGAGGTTTGTTTTATAATGTTTTGCCTTTTATTCCAGTTCAGTCCTTGTTATTGGTTTCTTGTTTACTTGTGACAACAAATATGCAAATAATGTCTTGTTTTTTTACAGTACAAAAAGAGATGAACATTCTGTACAGACAATATATTTGATTGCCTGGTGTTAAAAGAGTGGTCAACCTAAAGTATATAATTTTAGGGAATTGACAAAAATCCCTTATTATGTAGATGGTAATACTGGATAGAGAAGTAGCATGGTTGCAGAGGATAAAAGAGTATTCCTTGATTATTGTGGTTACATTTCTTCTGAAGACTTAAATTATAACACAGTTAATAAAATGTCTGATTGCTGCTTCGCTCAATATAAAACTGTGTTGATATTTTTTTTTCCTCCCTGTAGGCAACATTTTTAGCTACTTTGGGAAGCATAATTACAGAGACAACTGCTACTCCAGAAATAAAGTCATAAGAGTTAGGGTTTTTTTTCCTTGTTCGGGGGCTTGGAATCAGTTAATGAGATCAGTGAAATAAGTTTCATAATCATCAAAATTTAAGAAAGATCTTAAGAGTTTTTCAATCTGTCAACAAAATTCAATAACCAGTTGAAGGAGGAAATCAATGTGGAATCCTAAAAAGCCCCTTCTTTCTCACAGAACTCCAGCTTTCTCTCTGAAGCCCTTTTTCCTGTACATGCAACAAAAACTGAAGAGCTGGATCCCTCCTTCAGCCTGCATGAGACCATTGCAAAGGTAAGAGAAATGGAGATCTCATTTATACATACTTTCCTCTTGAATCTGCTATTAATTTTGAATTATAATCTATTTCTTTTCCTGTGAATCCTTTGAATGTAGTTAAAAATCGTGGAGTTCACTGGGATCCACGTTGGGAATATTCTTTACATTGGTCAACTTGTGTGATCAAAGCAGTTTCACATGCAAATGCTTCTTTTTGTGTGATTCAGCTGTATTTTGCATGTTTCACATTAAACTTCCTGGTATGAGAACAGGGCACTGAGCCCCAGTCGATGGCAGGAAATATTAAATTTGTTCTTCACACGCCGGTTCTTGTTTTTGGGAGCTGTCACTGTGGTGTTCCCATGGCAGGAAAGGGAACACCTTTGGTTCCTGTGCTTCTGGAGAGTCCCTACAGAGGGGATGCTCCCAAAGGTGACGTGTTCTGCCTCCCCTCCCCTGCTCCAGTGGAATACTCCCCCTATGTTGTTATTAACACAATCGAAATTTCTCCAGAGTGCTGCTGCTTCTGTCAGCTCAGCAATGTTTCTGCAGAGACACAGCTACCAATGAGCCCAACTTCATGGGTTCCTACACTTGTAACAACTTCCTATAAACCACAGTGATGTAGGCCTCACAGACTGCTTTCTTTATTCAAAGCTGCTGCTTTTGCAAAGGGAGCTGCTGTTGAATCATTCCTCCTGCACACAACAAAAGTAAATTCACAAGAACTCAGCCACGTGTATATTTAACGTGTAGGTGGCTCAGCATCTTTGGCAAAATAGACACTGCTTGGTCTTGGGGTTGTGGTGGGGTTTCTTTATGTTTGTTTGGTTTTAGTTATTATCTGTTTGCTTGGTTATTTAAAAAAAAAAAATGGCACAAAATCCTAGTCATGATTTTAAAGCCTGTCAGAATGTGACATTGTCAGAATTAAGGAACAAGCACCAGAGAAGAGTCTTCTCTGAAACCCTGTTAATGGAATTGATGTTTTTAAATAATTCTTGATAGAAAAGTGGCTGAAAAGATTAATCACATCTCCTTACAGAGTTTGAGGGAAATAGTTGTGTGATTATTCAGTGCATAGTTAATTTGTGATTTATTAAATAGTGTGTGATGAACCACGTGTAATCTGGATAATCTGTAATTTGGTCTTTGCTCTATAAAGTCGACCAATGCAAAAAAATATTTATTAGATACTTGACTTGAAGTATTTTGATTCTGTTTAAATAATTGCATATTATTTTAAATAGGGTCATTGAGCTGTACAATTTTATTTGATAATACTTGATGGAGATTGCACTAGGATATGACTGGAATTCCATTTTGCTTTTCAAACTGTAGCCCAGGAAGCTTTTATAAAGATGAATAGTATATGCAGCAGTGCATATACTGCTGAGTGACATTCTCAGCATTTAAGGGAAATGCTATAATTTAATTAGTAACTAAGTTTAATTGCTGTTCCTTTGTCTGAAATCTCCATATTTTCGTTGTGGTAGATGGGACCAAATTATTTCTTCACAAGATTATAATCTCTACCTTTAGAATAAATTATCCATTTTTGAAAAAAAACAAAAAAAACTCGAAAAACTAAACAAAACCAAAACAAAAAACCAACAGCAACAAGAAAAAACCCAACAAAACAAATATTAATAAAACTCAAACCAAAACTAGTGAGAAATTACCTTGTGGTTGGAATTTCCAGACCTCAGCTACAAGTTCATGCTCCTCAGTGGGTACCTGCCAAAGAACTGTTTATACACCCCACTGCAACTGCAAGTAAAGCAGGTGTCATACCTGCTTCTGAAATTTTAGTTTTTAATTTTGAAAGACTTTTCACACAAAACTGGTTATTTATCTTAAGAGAAATTAAATATTCAAATATAGTAAGTTGAATATTTGGTAATTTTAATTTGCTTTATTTTCTCAGAAATGGTTTATGAAAACATTTGAAACTATAGCTTTTTACTCTTAGTTTTCTTGCTTGTATGGCCACTCAGGCTGGTGGAAAAGCTTGTGTTGATTTGAAGCCCTTCATCTCCATTGGAGAAATATGATTTTAGTGTTTCTTAGTTTTTTTCCATGTATATGTCTTGATGCCAAATAACAGTGTAAAAGTTTCATAACATAATTATTTACATGAGGTTTGGTGTATAAATTATTAGGTAACTGTGCCTTGTGCTCTCTGATGTGAGTGTTTACCCCAATTTCATAGACACTTGGAAAAGGAGATTGCTGAATGTGGCAGAAAAAATGGAGTGGAGATATGCAGCTATTAAATAGATGGATCTGTAATCTGAGTGCTTAAAAGATCTAATTTGTCAGAACAATTGTCAGAACAATTCATATTAAGATCTTGGCACTGAGAAGGTGGATTTAGGATGGATTGCTGTGAGAACCATGCTGATCTGAAGCATTTAAAGGAAGAAATCTGTAAGCTTCCTGGTGACAAAGAACTGAAACATTCAGTAGAGTGGTGTGATGCAGTACAAAACTTGGTGGTATCTTAAGTGAGATTTGCAGACCTTGTAATTTCAATATATTAATGTATATAATACCAAGTATTAAAATCGAGGAGTGTCTGCCTGTGTGGCAAAGGGATTTTCCCACCTGACCAGAAGCCAGATAAAATTCCCTTTTTATCAAATGCACACTCAGGAAAGTGTGTGCTGTTTTTAATAAATTTCATCAGTGTTACTCAGCACAGTGCTTCATGGTAACCAGTCAATTCAGTGATTAACCAGTTTGAAGATACTTTTCTGTCCACTGTGTGCTCACCAGAGCATCCTCGTGAGCCTGGGATCCTGCAGTTCTGAAAGCCTGAATGGCAGACCCCCAACAGGGGATTCCACTGGAGCCACTCACCCAGGACCAGCCATGAAATAATCTCATGTTGATTTTTACTCTGTCAGGCACCAAAGTCATGAAAGGCACGCCAGAAGTGACATAATTGGTTTTATGATGAGTTAGGGGTGCTGACAGATAACTCTTGAGAAAATTATTAGCGAACCTGATTTATTCTACACTCCAATTATGGAATTGCATAAAGTAGAACTACTCCAATGCAATTAACTTCTAAATATTAAACAAAACAGCAAGAGGGAGGAGTGTTTCCATTTCTAGAGGAAATAAGGGGGTTTTGTGTAACATACAGTGATATTTCCATTTTTTAAAAATACAAACACTTCCAAGGAGATGACAGGCAGGCTCTCCTCCTGCAGTAAACGGAATGAAAAGTATGCAAATGGAATGAAGAGACTGCTGGACTGTTGGTAAATGAAATTCACATTTTGACCACAGATAAGGTGCAGCACAAGAATGTTGACTTGAGGCATTTTCTAACAGGATCATACTGTTCTGTTCCTCTGGAGCATGGAAGGGATATATATTCCCATTTACCTGTTGTTTAGTCCTATTAATTCTCTAATTTAGGGAACACTCATTCAAATGGGCAATGCACTAATGTCCAAAGTAGTTTCTTTCCCTGCAATCTCTCTAAAAATGAAAATCTGTGTTTTGGTGCATGCTACCTCTGCCAAGTATTTTAATCTTTCTGCCTGGTGTCTGTAAATGAGCTTGTTTTCTTGGTTTTGATGGTTTTGTTCAGTTTTTTTGGAGGGGGAGTTGTTCATTTGGTGTTTTGTTTATTAGTTTGTTTTTTGCATACCAAGTTAATGCAACATATTTGAATTAACACGAAGGTCACAAACTCTTGAAATCCCAAAGACTTCTGGGATTTTGCAGATTTTGAATCAGTAGAATAGTACTGTGAACAGAATGTCTGTATGGCAGAGGCATTTCTAACAGCATATTATTGCTGGTGTAGGTATTTCAACAGAGTACTTTCATATTGCTGTGTTTTTCCTATTGTGCCCTTTTGGGAATCAGATCATTCATGAAAAAGCTCTGTGGTGTTGTGCCTGGGTATGCCAACAGCTTCTGCATGGAGGCATCTCTACATCTGTACATTCCATTGAGGCATTTTCTGTTCTCATTTAGAAATTGCCTCTGTGTAGAGACAGAGGACTTGGCAGAATTGTTTGAGCAGCAGAAACACAATACTACTCCAGTCAGAGGTACAGCACCTAAAGTGTTAAAGATTTTGTTCAGAACTCATCTGAAATATTGAGCAAACAGAAGTCTGATGCACCTGAAGATGTCTCAAATCCAAGCCAAGCCCAGAAAACCCTTTGTCCTTGCAAGGCCCAGGCAGATATGTGGCAGCCTTCCCCCACATCACTGGGTGGAGTGCTACCTGGAACTTTTTCCTGTATGCTCTGCTTTTCATCACAAAAATGTGGCACTATGGAGTGTCAGTTTTCACAGGTAATTTCTCCAGTTAGCTTTCTTCAGTGATGTATTCTGTTCTATGTAATTTTTAAAATCCCTGTCTGCAGCTGCATGTGCCAGACTTCCCCATCATCTCTCAGTCTCTTCATCAAAGGCACAAGTTCTGCACAGACCAACAGAACTCTCGTGCCTTTTTGGAGGTGAATTATCTTATGATTTTGTTCTTTCAAAATGAATTATTCAAGCCTCCAGTTAACAACAGGAATATGCTGGGGAAGGTGACAGAGGTGCTGAATGAGGTTAACAAAGCAGAACAGGCCTCAGTGTGTAAAGTGAGGACCAAGGTGGGGGCCTGACCAATATCTATATTTCAGTCTACTGAATTTTTAGGTGTGGAATTTGACCTTGTTGAGAATCTACCAGAAGTGTCTGGGGTACCCTTTGTGTGCTCTGTCACACATGAAAGCCCATGGTTCTTGGGCTGAGAAATTGCACTATGGCTTGGGGCATCTCTTAATTTTTCTCTTTGTCTTCCCACAGCTGGCAGCAGTTCATGGTTTTTTCAGAGCTCTCATCTGCCCCAAGGTGATGGAGCAGCCTAGGTGCAGTGTAATGTTCCAGTTGATGTAGCCACTCCCTAAGTGCTATTTTTTTTTCTGGCCAACATCTCATATACTGGCTCTGAGAATCTTACTGGTATTTATGGGTTGATGGTATTTGAGATGTTC